GGTTTTCGAATTTAGATTTCTGCGCACTTGCTAATCCGATAAGTCTTAGAAATTCACACGCAAACGACTCAGCGCCCGTAGTAAGGTTAAGCATATATCACGGCACCTTCGATAAATTCATGAAATAAAAAAATTTAAACGCAAAATCCACTGTGCCTTCTCCATTGGCGTGGGTGGATTGCTGATAGAACCCGACTGAAATATCTTTGCTTATAACACCAAGAAAAAATTAAGAATCGAAAACATCTATCGACTAGAGGAGATGGAACAGTTTGGATAATCGTTGTCTAATTTTTGTGGGTGTTTACTGCGTTTTATGCGTACACACTAAATCCTCCAGACAATTCTTCCAGAAAAAAGACCACGATTTTGAATCACCCTGTAGAATGATGCACAAAAAATTTCAAATGGAAGTCGTGACTCTCAAAAATGTCTGATTTTGGGCAACTGGCAAGTCCCAAACCGAGTACAGTCTACTGAAGATGGCAGCCACTCGAACTGGCGAAACATCAAATCGACAGTCCAAAAGCCTTCGATAAATGACGACATAAAACTACTCTTTTAAAGTTAAAAATATTGACATCCACAGGGCGAAGATTCTTTACTAATCAAGCTGTTCAGTGCCTTCTGAACTTGGCCAAGTCAACAAAGTTCAGGATTTGAAAATGAACGCACCAGAAAAAGCACAAAAAAGGGAGAAAGTGAAGTTACTGATACAATTGCAAAGCAACATTCTCAGTCCGATTCAGCTCAATGTCCGATATTCTGGGTACCTGATGGTGGTACCCCACCAAATTCTTCTCGAGGTGTCGTTCTCGGCAAAGGGGGCCCCCTTTAATGCCATGTTTCGCAGCGGGCCGCCGTACTAATTGGGGACGCGGCCCCCCGTCGCCAGCGCCGTTTTTGTAATTGGCCGGGTCGTAAGTCATCTTCGACTGCACGAAAACGAAAGATGTGCATATGCCCATAAGTTTGGTAATGGTTTGTTGATGAACACATTGCGCTTTCTTAACGAACCAGTCTCATAATCACGAGCAGCCTGTTCAAAGTGGTACTGCATTTATCTGAATTAGTATTAATACTCGTCATTCATATCAATCATTCATCAAGCCCAAACAACTCGCTCCTGCTCCTTCCTCAAGAATCTTCTCCTGGATTTGTACAATAATCGACTGGAGAATAATCTTCGACATATATAGGGTAATTCCGGGAGAGATGAACTACCGCCTGAGATGGACCAGTCGTGTATTTTCGACTGTACATGGTATAG